CCTCACCCTGAGTATAGGGCACCTGTAACATCCTTCTAATCAGTAGAATATCTTTAGGGTGATGGGGTATCGTTCCCAAGATCATGTTACCCCATATAGCAAAAATGAAGGGATTTTGCTGACTTAATTATGGTCCATAATCACCTGATTTTAAGAGATATTATCCCAGGTCTTCCTGACTTCATCCAGCAAGGAATTCAAAGTAGTATATTCTTTCTCTCTCTCTCTCTCTCTCTCTCTCTCCACCCACCCTCCCCCTCCATTGCGGGCTTTGAAGAACCAAATGAAACAAATGAATTCTATAGCACCAAGGAAATTAAGTCTGCCCAAAACCGCGAGAAACTTGAAGTAAATCCTTTTAGTTCAGCCTCTAGTTGAGAATTCAACCTAGCCAGAGATCCAGTTAAGTTTTCCCAGCCTTCTGACCTACTGGCAGATAATAAATGCCTGTTGTTTTAAGCTATTAAGTTTGTAGTCATTTGTTACACAGCAATAAATAATTAATATGCATGCAAAGCCCTGGGGAGTTACAAAATTGAATATATATTCTTAGTCTTATGTTTTCAGATATAAAGTTTTGGAAGTTCCTCCTTTACCCTACATCATCAATGACCATTAATCTCCCTCTTTCTCCTGACCATGAAGCTTCTTAAAACAGTAGCCTAGGGACTGGCCCGGTGGTGTAGTGGTTAAGTTAGCACACTCCACTTTTGGGGGTTTTCAGGTTCGGATCATGGGTGCAGACCTACACACTGCTCATCAAGCCATGCTGTAGTGACATCCCACATGCAAGGGAGAGAAAGATTGGCACAGGTGCTAGCTCAGAGACAATCTTCCTCAGGCAAAAAGAGGAGGAGTAGCAACAGAATTGGCTCAGGGACAATCTTCCTCACCAAAAATGAAATAAAATAAAATAGCCAATACTCATTTTGTTCACTTCTTTACTATTCATTCACTACCAAGTTAAGCAAACTGTAATCACTCTCACCACTCTGCTAAAGTATTCAATATTCTCATTAAGATGACAGTAATTAAACTAATAGTTAAACCTAGCTGATGTTTTGAAATAATTACTGCATTATTTTATGAAGAATCAGAAAATAAAAAGGGCCAAACCATAGGAATATAAGCTCTTACTTTTAGAGGTCTTATTACACTTTGCCTGAAGTGCTTTATATAATAATTTATTATTAAAATGTAGGGGCTGGCCTGGTGGCGTGGTGGTTAAGTTGCGCACTCTGCTTCGGCAGCCCAGGGTTTGCCGGTTCAGATCCTGGGCACCGACTTACAGATTGCTTATCAAGCCATGCTGTGGCAGGCATCCCACATACAAAATAGAGGAAGATGGGCACAAATGTTAGCTCAGGGCCAATCTCCCTCAGCAAAAAGAGGAGGATTGGTGGCGGATGTTAGCTTGGGGCTAATCTTCCTCAAAAAAGAAAAAATGTAACAAAAGCAATCTGGTATCATAGGATACTTTGGAGTTCAGTAATTAAAGTATAAACAACTTTTATCATTACATAGCATCCTATTTGGAGATATTTCTATATGTTTAATTATGAATAGTTGCAATTCTTGCCTGAAATTCTATTACTGTCAAATGATTTTGATGGCATTTAAATGATTAATTCTTAAAATGCAATAAGCCCTACTCTAAAAGCTATATTTAATCCTCACAACACTCTTAGGAGACAGACACTATTACTACCTATAATTTATTTTTAAAAATACAGTTTAGAAAGAAGTCAAATTTTCCAATATCACAAATCAAGTAAATGACAGAGAGAAGATTAGAACTTCGAAATCAGGAATTTTCATGCTAGATCCTGAAATTTTAATCACTATATGCTATTAAGTTTAGACTTAGAAATATCTAATTTTAATGAACTGAAATCATTATTTCTTGTAACAGGAGATTTTAATGGTAATCAATGTTTTCTTCGATATTCATCTAGAAGACAGAGGTTCCCACGAATCAGAGTATAACAAATATCACACAACTATAACTATGTCATTTTTTCTTATACCCTCCTCATTGCTCTCCACAGCATCTTGTTTTCATGCACATCAATACCGATTTAATTTAAATAATTGTATCATTAATCTTTCTAATTAAAAATAAAAATCTTGCCTATACCCTTGCTGAACGCTACTTCTCAAAGGTAACTACAATTGAAAATGTGGTGTAATTAATTCCAGACCTCTTGGAGAAGCATGAGTGGAGAGAAATCATCTCCAGGAAATAAAGAGTTCCTTAATTTAGGAATGCAACTTTGTAGATTATCTTTGTTTCTAGGAGAGAAAAGTAAAATCCCAGAAGCATAACCTGAATGATGGCTACAAAGAGAACTAAATTACTCGGCATATTAAAAGAGAGAGAGAAAGAGAGAGGATTAGGAAATGGAGGTCAAAGGTGACATGATGAATGGTGGTCAATGAGGAGAGAGTTGGCTAGAGAGAAATCCTCTATGAGGCAGATGGCAGAATATTTATAAAGCTTCGTCCCCGTATAACATACATGCAGAAAAGTACAAATCTGAACTGAGTTGCTCAATAAATTTCCACAGTGAGCACAAAGGGATAACCACCACCTGGATCAAGAAATAAAACATGAGTTTCTCTGAAACATCCTCATTCCTCCTCCTAGTTACTGTCCCAATTCTCTTTCCAAAAAGCAGAACCAAAAGTAAACCCAATACCATGACTTTTAATACCTTGAATTAGTTTTGCCTGTTTTTGAACTTTACACAGACAGAATCCTGCCCATCCATTATTTTGTGTCTGACTTCTTTTCTCCATCATTGTATATGTACAATTCTTTCCCATTTTGCATATATCAAAGTAATGTGTTCTTTCTCATTTCTTCGTTGTATTTAACTTTATGAAAATACCACATTTCCTTTATGCATTTTACTATTGATGATCATTAGAGTTGTTTTAGGTTTTGGCTATTAAAAATAATGCTACCAGGAATATTCTTGTGTATGTCCTTTGATAAACATATGTATGCATTTCTTTCGGAAACAGTCTTAAGAGTAGTATTACTTGATCATAGGGTAAGCATAAGTTCATTTTAAAAGATACTGCCAAGCAATTTTCTAAAATTGTACCAATATAGATCACTGTAGCAGTAAGTGCAAGTGCCATTTATCCATGTCTTTAGTAACCCTTGATGTTGTCTTTTACACTTTTCCCATTCTGGTGGGTATGTAATAATATCACATGTAGATTCAATTTGCATATCCCTAATGACTAGTGAAAATAAAAACTTTTAAAAATGTTTGTTGGCTATGTGAATATCCTCTTTGGTGAAGTGTCCACGTCATGCCCATTTTTCTACTGGGTTGTCTTTCCTTCCTGATAAACTTATAATTCTTTGTGTGTTTTGGATACAGGTCCTTCATCACCCATAAATATCTAGTGTAAATACATTCTTCCAACCTATGGCTTGCCTTTCACTCTTTTAATGGGTGTTTTTTATTAAACAAAAGTTCTTAATTCTAATACACTCCCATATATTCATTTTTCCTTGATGTTTTACACTTCTTGTGTCTTTAGGAAATCTTTGCCTACTCCCAAATCCTGAAGATATTCTCATATGTTTGTGTCAAAAACCTGTATTGTTTTACCTTTCACACTTAGATCTATGCTTCATTTTAAGATTTTGTGTGTAGTGTAAGGTAGGAGTTAATTTCTTTTTTAAAAATATGGATATTCAATGACCAGTACAATTTATTGGAAAAAAATATCTTTATACTACTGCATGTAGAGTCATCTTTGTCATAAAACAGGAAGCCATGTTATATGAGGGCTGCTTCTGAACTCTCTGTCTTCTTTCATTTGTCTATTTCTCTATATTTGAGTCCATTTTGCACTCAGATAATATAGTTATTAATTACTCTAAGTACATATTAAGTCTTGATCATCTATGAAGATGTAAGTGCTCCGTGTTGCTACAGTTCAAAATTGCTTTAGATTCTGAATATCACTCCTGTGTCCTCTTTCAATACTCCTGTATCCCATAACATCCCTAAAGGTAGGAGAAATTTGCTGTTCTAAGTTTGGGCTACCTGTTCTCTCTCAGATTATTCCCTGAACTTCTGGTCTCTTTTTTCTTTTTTTTTTTTTTTGAGGCAGATTAGTCCCGACCTAACTACTGCCAGTCCTCCTCTTTTTGCTGAGGAAGCCTGGCCCTGAGCTAACATCTGTGCCCATCTTCCTCTACTTTATATATGGGACGCCTACCACAGCATGGCGTGCCAAGTGGCGTCATGTCCGCACCCGGGATCTGAACCAGCAAACCCTGGGCTGCCGAGAAGCAAAACATGTGCACTTAAACGCTGCACCACTGGGCCAGCCCCCCTTTTTTCTTTAATGCTATTTTTTAACTGAGGTAGAATTGACATAAAACATTATGTTAATGTCAGGTGTAGAACATAATGATTTGATATTTACATATATTGCAAAATGACCACCACAATAAGTCTAGTTAAGATTTTCTTCTTAATATTCACTCCACACTTCATTACCAAAATAAATTTCCCTGTCAGTGTGCAAGTATGTTGATATGGAATATGAAAAAGAACCAACCACAAATTACTAAAAATAAATGTATATGGAAAAGCGTTTGGATTGAACCAATGGAAAAACATAAGATTCACCTATTATTTCTGTTGCCCAATATTGCAGGGAGCTCATGAAGCCTCACGATAGTAATGACTCAGACAAAAAGGATACACAGAGGCTGACCCCATCACCAAGGGGTTAAACTTCTGCACGCTCCACTTTGGTGACCTGGGTTCACGGGTTTGGATCCCTGACCCAGACCTACTCTACTCATCAGTCATGCTGTGAAGGCATCCTATGTACAAAATAGAGGAAGATTGGCACAGATGTTAGCTCAGGGTTAATCTTCCTCAAGTAAAAAAAGAGGAAGATTGGCAATGGCTGTTAGCTCAGGGCCAATCTTCCTCACAAAAAAAGAAGGATACACAAACTGATTAGATCCAAAGAAGCATATTTATTGGGGTGGAGACGTGATTTTCTCCAACCAGATAGAATTCATAATACAGAATCAGAAAATATGAAGAGGTTATAGTTTCTTTTGAAAAATAATCCAAGGCAGACCTTTAATTTTCAGCTCATTATGGAACTACTGCTCACTCAGGCTCTATTAAGCCTAAGTGGTTTCAAGTAGGAGGTGACCTTGTTCTAAGCTGAACGTAGCCTTTCAGATGAAGACCTTGAAGTAGATTTGATCTTGGAAGAATTGCTTCAGGGAGAAAGGTTGTGCTTGTTCTAGAAGCAAGAGAAATAACATCTTCTGTAGCAAATTGGACCATAGCCATAGCCGGAACCATATCCACAGCCATATCTGGATCCAAATCCACAACCATAGCCACAGCCATATCTGGAACCATAGCCACAGTTCAGTCCTCTGTAGCTCTTGCATCCATAGCCATAGCCATAGCCATAGCCAGGGCCATATCCACAGCCATAACTGGGGACATAGCCACAGTCTCCGTAGGAGTTTCCATAATAGTAGCAGCTCATGGTTTCAGGATTAGTGGGTTGTAGTAGGAAGTTTCTAAAGTCTGAATGTCACCCACATACCTGGGACTCTTATATACTGTGAGGAATGGGTGGGGCTTACTTCAGTAGAACTCTGCTTCTCGTCATCATAGTAATTTACATAAAATTAGCTCATTATTTTGGTGACTCCAAACTTGTTGTAAAGTTTCTGTTTAATTTGTTGTTACTGAAAAAATATGTCAACCAACCAAAAGTAATCACCAACCTTGAAGGAAATTGACATCACCCAAGTCCATGCTATTAAAACATATTCAAGAACCTTGAGTTTAAAATACAACCCTCCCTCTCTTTGTCAACCTCTCTCTATAGTACTTTCAGGAATATGGAAGATTAAATTCAACATTTCCTATATGATGCTTCAAATGTCTATGACACCCTCCCACCAGAGTAATGTCTGGAAAAACCCAACTCATCATTTGAGAATCAACACAGATATCACCTTCTCCAGGAGGCCCTCCCCAGTTCCCACAATCTGATTCACATACCCCTTCTCTAAAGTCATAGCCCTGTACTATCCTATCATGACCACTGCATATTATAACTTTCTCTTTGATTATCTTTGAATTTCATTTGCTTACCAGAAATGCCTTTTATTTTGTTATTTATCCCTAAGACCTAGCCCAATGTCTGATTCAAAGGATGCAAGGGATTCAATCTGAGCAAATGATTGTTTAATAAATTAAAGAATGAATGAGTGAGAAAATGAATGGATTAAGCAAAGACAAAGAACCCTTAGATCTGATAATATTTAAAATCCTTCCAATTCTAATATTTCATTTTTATCATTTTACTTGTGAAAAACACAAGTTTCAACAATAGTTAGAATCATGACAATTATTAACAATAGTGTTTGATTATAAAGCACTCCCACACATCTTAGCCCATGTCAGTCTCAAAAGAGTCCTGTGAAAAGTGTTTTATAATTTGTTCTTACCATTTTACAAATGAACAGACTGGTGTTAGCAATTAAGTTATTTTTACCAGATCACTCAGATCTTCAGCATCAGAACTTATCAGGTCTTTTGAATCTAGTTTCTATACTTTTTCCTTAATGTTCCAAAATAAGAGAAGGATAAATAAAATAATTTGTTACTGAGGCTTTTTTTTAAAAAAGCTTATGTTCACTACAGCTTCTAAGAAACAAACACTTATGACCGTTTCCTTTTATATCCCAAATCTTTTTCTATTTCCTTCTTGACCTTCATCACTGTAGTTGACCCATGAACACTTCCTAAGTAGGTCACCTTAATTAGCTCTTTCATTTGCTGCAAAACTCCCTTCAAACTTAAGGTGTTATGTTCTTTTGGTAATACAGTGCTGTTCTCTGGTTTTGGAGAGGGGGCCCCGTTATTTTTGACTTCTAACATTGGGAGTTAGGCAGAAATAACAATATTTTTTCTAGAAGTTTTAATGTTGAATCTTATGTAATAAAATATCATAAATCCACAACCTCCTTGTTAAAGACGTGCCTTTTATTCAAATCTTCCTTGGCCTTGTTTAATTATTGTAGGGGCTATGATTACTCTTTCTTATAATAATCTTCTGAAATATCAATCCTTCCAGACTCCAGGATTTATTATAAATGTATTTTCCACTGCCACTACCAGAAAGTAGACTTTATTGCAATAGTCTTTATTTGCATTAATTTTCTCAGTTGCTTTCCTATGGTCATCAGACAACTGGTGAGCATTTATTAAGTATGTACAACAGAAAACACATTAGGATACTGAATTTTAAAAATATATGTCCCTGTCTTCTAGATTTAAATTTATATTTTAAGAACTCCCCTTTGACCCTGCATGTTGCCTATCTGTGACCCAATTGCACTTCTTTTTCATACTATCCGTCTCCACTTCTTCATGACTACACTCCAAGCCCATCATCCACTGGAACTGCTCTCGTTAAGAATGCTAGTCATGATCCAGCTTCCAATTTCAGTATCTTTTTTATTTGCTCACTTTCTAGCATGGTAACTGCTTTTTCTTGAAAACTTGCAATCTTTAGTTTCCTGATAACAGGCTTTTCTGGTTCCAATCCCATTTGTCTGAAAAATTCTTATTTTTCATCAGCTCCTCTTAATGTACACTCTGTTCATCTTTCTAATTATTAGAGTTGCCTCAATTCTGTCTTCACCACTTATTTCTCATTCTCTACATGCTTACCAAGTTACCTCTCCTCTTCCCATTGTTTTAACTACCTATAATTCCAAGTATATGAATCCAGCTTGCTAAAAAGGAAAATTTCTCACAAACGTCACTCAGATACCACAAATTCCATGTCTTTTTCACCATTGGATTTCCTAGAACCTTAAGTAGGGTCCAGCACTTTGTCAGATCCAATAAATATTTCATATAGGGATGAATGAGGAAATACATCTTATTCATCCTTAAATCTTCTCTTCCTCCTATGTTTCTAGTGTCTGTGGTTGGCACAACCTAGTCACCCAAGCCACAAACCTGGGAGTCATGCTTCACAGTAACACCTCTATCAACCACCAACATCCAGGCCGTCATCAAGCCCTGATTCCACCTCCTACATATGTCTCTGAAATATGCACCATCCCCTTGGGCCATGCTCTATTCAAATAGCATCATCCTCATCATCTTTCCTGCATTATTGGTATAAATTATTTGGTCTTTCTAACACCAATCCACCCTACAAATCACTGCCATAACTTTTCTAAGCTACAAAGCTGATTGTATGCCTTTACTAATTCAATTCGATACTCCCCATCACCATGACAGTGAAACACAAATTCTGAACTATAACGTGACCTACTATGTAAGTCCTTAACCTTGTCAAACTAGTCACAGTACAATGCTATGAATCCTAGCCTGTAGGAGGTTCTTAAGAAATATCTGCTGAATTTAGCTGACAGGAAGAATTCCACATGTTTCATACTTTCCTGCCTTTTCACATGCTACTTTGCCTGCCTGGAATATCTCCATCAGATAGCCATCTGGAAAATCCAGGCTTCACCTCTTTCCTGAAGTTTCTAGGACCTCCTTTTAAACAAGGCAGTGTCCAGCACAGTATTCCATTCATGGCTTTACAGATGAGTAAACACAAGAACTAAGAAGAAGAATTGCCTTTGTCTGTTGTTTTATTATTCATTTTGAATCTTATATACAAAGTAAAGATTTATCAACAAGTTTAAATTTAAAACAACTACATAACATCTTGGGAATAACTTTATTACAATCTTTATGTTGTTTTTTGTTTCTTTTCTTACAAAATCTATGAATACCTTGGGTGCACTCATCATTTTTTTCTCGTTTATCTTATTTTCGCCCATTGCCTATCATATGCAAAAACTGGTATGTGTGTGTGTGTGTATATATATATACACACACACACACATACAACTGGTGTATATATTTATATATATACACACATAGACTCATTAATTATTTGCTGCATGGGATGGAATGGAATGGAATGGAATTGGGTTCAATACAAAAAGCTAATTCTTACTGTAGTGTCTAGGATGGATTAGACAAAAGAAAAACTGAAGTCATAGAGAACATTTATGAGATAATTGACTAGAAAAAAGGCAAAGAATTTCTACCCTGGAGAGTTGAAATGGCACTCCAAAGAAGGGGACATTATAAGACGTGCAAATAGAATGTGTCAAGAGATTGGCTCTGGTAATGAAGGAAAAGGAGAAATGGCCGAAGATGTTAAATTTTCAGCCCTTTGCAACTTGGCATTGATGACATCATTTAGTATTTCTTATTTTACTTTTCTTTACAGTAAAGATGATTTTGGCTCTCTATGTGTAAGCTCTCTGGGATCAAGGAAAGATTCCCACAAAGCACGGTGAGAAAATGGCTTAGTTTATGTTACTTGGCAATAACAATGATTAAAATGAGCAACAGCTCTGATATTCATCTCCGCTGGGTATTCCACACCCAGGAGATGCTCATAAAAGGAACCATCTAGTCATTAGCTTCACACCTTTGGTTACTGTTGAAACCACCACCATCCCTTATTATAAACACAGTTTACAGTCATTATATCATTTATTTTGTCATCCTAGTATAACAGCATGTGGGATAACCATGACAAAGTATAAATATCGGCCTGCCTAAGTTTTCCTACTAAAAATGACCCTAACAGTACTACCTCAGATAATTTCTTTCTAAGAAATTCTGCATGACCAACAAACTGTAATTGGCTAAACATCTGGGAGAACATAAATTTCAATGATAATGGTCATTACTTATTTAAAATTACAGGAGAGTCCAGGGAAGCCAGTGTTGGGCTATGCTCCTAAATTGTGCAGAGCAGAAAGCCAAGGGAGGGCATGCCTTGTGGCCTGAGTTATGCTGACGCTGATTTAGGAAAACAAGAAATCCTTCTTTCACAAGTACTAAGACTGTGTTTGCAAGCACCAACTCTCCAAAATTAGAATTGAATGGCAAACTGTGTGTGAGATTTTATAGCTAGTATATTTTTTGTGCCAATTGCATAATTTTGTTGGCTTTTTCAAGAAAAAACTATAGCAATACATTGCACTTGATGTTGAAAGGAAAAGAAAATTATCTCAAAGATGATAGAACTGTGGCCCTACAATCCTATGAAATGTATATGCAGCTGAGAATTGAAATCCATGAAAAGACCCATGATGAACTAGACTAAAACAGACAGCAAGAGGACTCATGATGGCTCTCTCTGTACTATCTATGGCACTTGGTAAACTAGCCCAATTTTTCACTTAACATAAGGTCATTGCTGTGGATTGAATGGTATCTCCCCCAATTCGTATGTTGAAGCTCTAACCGCCGACATGATGGTATTTAGCGATGGCGCTTTTAGAAGATAATTAAGTTTAGATGAAGTAATGAGAGTGGGGCCCCATGAAGGGATTAGTGTCCTTATAAGAAGAATTATCAGAAAGCTTGCTTCCCCTCTCTTTCTGCCACGGAAAAGCAAAAAAGGAGACCATCTGCAAGCCAGGAAGAGAGCTCTCACCGGGGAAGCTTGATCTTGGACTTC